GTCTGGATGCACCAGATGGAAGTTGAAAAAGGCAAGAGCTGGGGCAAGCACAGCAGGAACTGGGGGCAGTCAGCAACCAGGAAATGCAGGCTCTTCCAAGCAGGGAGAAACCCCTACCAGTACCTTTAAGAGGTCAAGGTCAGAGGGCAGTACCCCTACAGAAATGGCCATAACTCCGAAAAGGCCCAAGGACTCTAAGAGACCAGGGACTTACAAGGAGGCACTGGCCAACATAAAGGTAGCTATCTTCAAGGAAACTTATCCCGAGGACAAGCTTACTGAAGATGACCAGAATTTAATTCTGGAAGCACTGGGAGAGGTGTTACGTAGGACTCCAAAGGGAAAACTACCACACCTGAAATCCTACAGACGAGTGGGAGGTGCACTTGCTTATGCATGTGCTGACCATCAATCTGGTCAATGGCTCACCAAAGCCACTGATAACCACAGGCTGGAATCAGGGGCCAGGCTGAAGGCTACCGATGCCAAGAACCTGCCCAAGCCTGTTAAAGTGGCTCTCGGGATTAGGGACAAAGTTGCCCAGAATCAGGAAGTGCTGCTGAAATGGATTGCAGACCTCAATCCAGGACTTCATACAGAGAACTGCAGGGTACGAGATAAGCAATCTGAGTCGAAAGGACAAAGGTTTATTTTATTCACAGACCGGGACTCCCATACTATTATACAGAGGACCGGTTACAAAATATTCAGAGGACTCTCACAGGGGACTGTAAAGGTGCTCACTGATCCTGAGGATCAGCACCAGGTAGAACCTGTGTCAGATACAGCATCGTCCAACTTGGCCTCTGAGGGGGAAGAGGATGATGTATCCACTCCCTCAGTTGACCAGAAGAGAATGTCTGATGAGGAGGAGACAATCCCTCCTCTTGTCAACCCGACCTTAGCAGAACAGGGACCTCCTTCGGAAGAAACCAGGTCTGGTAAAGTAAAAGGGACTGTGGAAAAAGGTATTTAGCAGGACACCTTTCCCAGCATTACAGAATGAACACACAGCATACATACATACACATGACAATTACACATACAATATGATTAATTCAGATTAATCTACACCACAGCAAGGCTGCTACGGCAATTTTATGTTGACAACTTGCTGAAGCAAAAGTAGATGTAGCTATTATTCAGGAACCTTGTATATATATGGGCCAAATAAGATGCTTAACAAATTCAGGGGGAACAATCTACTCTGTGGCACCTGAAGAAAATGTGAGATTATGCATATACGATGGTGTACCCAAAAGAAACCGAACTAATTTTTTTGTGGGCAGAGCTTTTGTAGTACCGCGTTTTGCCGCTACGAGCGCATAGAGCTAACATTCCTGAGTCAATAAGCCGACTACCGTTGCTTCAGAAGGTAAGGACTAGTTTCGGCAGAGTTTATAGTGACAATTGTTTCGTGTGATCGTCATTTTTGCAATGGCTGATTTTCGTGAATAGCGTGTGGCGGTGAAATTCTGCTTTTTGCTCGGGAAAGTGGAACAGAAACCCTTGAAATGTTAAAAACGGTGTACAAGAACGATGCTATGGGGAAAAACTCAAGTGTTTGAGTGGTTTTCCCGTTTCAAAAATGGTGAAATGTCAATTGATGACAAACCTCGTTCTGGTCGTCCTTCCACGGCCCGAACACATGAAAATGTTGAAAAAATTCTTGAAATCATCAAGGAAGATCGACGACGGACCATTGAAGAAATTGTGGAGCTGTCGGGGGTGACTTGGAGCTCAGTTCAGCGAATTTTGACAGAAGATTTGGGAATGAAAAGGGTGGCTGCGAAATTCGTGCCACGACTGCTGACTGCTGAACAAAAACAAGGTCGCGTGGAAGCATGCTGTGCTTTGAAAGAAGAGTCCCGAAATGATCAAAACTTTTTTTTGTTTCCTCAAATGAAAAGAGACATGAAAGGAAAGCGTTTTGCTGATGTTGCTGAGGTGAAGGAAAAAACGACGGAGGCGCTGTCAAGCATCTCAAAAGACGAATTTAGACAATGTTTTAAAAATTGAATAAAAGACTAGACAAGTGAATTAGTGTAAGTGGTGAGTACTTTGAAGGGGATTGAAGGTTTGTGCTTAAAATTTGAATAAATAAGTTTAAAAACAATAAGTTCGGTTTCTTTTGGGTACCCCCTCGTATGTTAATAATCATATTAATGATTTATCCTTGCTTGAGTTCTGTTCCAGAGACACAACAACGGCGAGGATGACATATGCATTGGAAGGAGGCTGTGAGGAACTCATCGTCACTTCAGCCTACCTTCCATATGACTCGGATGAACCACCACCTTCCAAAGAAGTGAGGGACATTGGTGAATACTGCCATCTTAAGAAAAAGCAGCTCTTTACTGGGTGTGATGCCAATGCGCACCACATACTCTGGGGAAGCACCGACATCAACCCAAGAGGAGAATGCCTCATGGAATATTTGGCAAGTTCGAACCTTAATATTCTAAACCAAGGTAATGAATCTACCTTTGTGGTTTGCAACAGGCAGGAGGTTATGGACTTGATACTAAGGAAAATAAAACAGGAAACCTGATCAGTAATTGGCATGTATCTGATGAGCCGTCCCTATCGGATCACAGATATATATGCTTTAAAATAAGCAACATTACAGTAGATCATGCTACTTATAGGAATTCTATTATCCCGTCCTTTAATAGGAATTGCCCAGCTAGGACCACTTGCAAACCAAGGAGAGTGCCTTGGTGGAATAAACAGCTGAGTGGGCTTAGAACCAAAATGAGAAGGCTGTTTAATACAGCTAAAAGAACAGGGCAGTGGGACACCTACAAGGAAGCCCTTACCTGTTACAACAAAGAAATAAGGAAAGCCAGCGATCCTCATGGAGAAGGCATTACCAGGAGATCAATGATGCACCAGGCGACCAACAAGGTCAGCAAGATTAAGCTGCCTAACGGGCAGTATACCCAAACAGGAAGGGAGACACTGAATGAATTATTCATGGTTCACTTTCCTGATTCAAAACTGATTGATAATTCGGACGATGGATTGGGGCAGCAAAACCTGGGCACTTGCCAAAGCAAGACGAACAGGATAGAGTGGAACATGGCCAAAGTCATAATTAACCAATCAAAAATGAGATGGGCACTGAATACAAGTACGTTTAGACCATTTAAGTCAGAGGGAACAGATGGAATTGTACTGGCACTTTTGCAGCATGGGGCAAAACTCTTAGTTCCACACCTATGGCGCATATACAGAGCCTGCATGGCATATGGTTTTATCCCCATGGCACGGAGGCAAGTTAAGGTGACATTTCTCCCAAAGCACGGGAAACTAGATTACACCGAGGCTAAGGCTTATCGTCCTATCAGCCTGTCGTCTTTTCTTTTGAAAACAATGTAGAAAATAGTAGATATGCATATCAGGGACAGGGTGTTGAGGACTCATCCTCTACACCGAAACCAGCATGCCTACCAAACAGGTAAATCTACTGAAAGTGCACTACATAATGTGGTAACACGCATAGAAAGTGTGACTGAACACAGGGATATTGCCTTATGAGCACTGCACTGCACTGGAGACACTCCTTGGACTCTCCCACTGCATACACAGTTGGAGGCAGAGGCCAAGGCAGGCATCTACTGTCTCCAGTGCAGTGATCAATGGAAACCTAAATCCGATAGTTTCGGATATGCAGACATCACTCAGGACATGAAAAAACAACCCATATTACAAATGGGGTCTGACAAAATGATACTGACATGTATATGAAAAACCCTTCACAGTCAGATTTCCTGACAGGAGTGAATGGGAAGACAGGTTTCAGCCCGGTAGAAAAGGGGGACTGATCTGGCACACAGATGGTTCCAAGATAAATAAGGGCACTGGAGCTGGTGTGTTCTGCTATGGCACGAAGCGGAAACTTAGTTTCAGCCTTGGGCAGTACACGACAGTATTCCAGGCAGAAGTATATGCCATTAAGGCATGTATAATGGAGAATCTAGATAGTAACTACAGAAATAGGAACATCTACATTCTATCTGACAGCCAAGCTGCACTTAAAGCCCTTGACAAACACCAGATCAACTCAAAATTGGTCTGGAATTGTCACGAAACTCTCATGGAACTGGCCAAACACAACAGGGTACAACTAATAAGGGTACCTGGGCACGAGGGTATTGCTGGAAACGAAATAGCAGACCAATTGGCCAAGACTGGAGCTGAACATCTGTTCATAGGATCTGAACCAGCCTGTGGCATCTCTATAGAAGTTGCCAGAAAGGCAATCAGGGATTGGACAAATATGAATCACAAGAAATACTGGGGATCCTTAACTGGACTCAGGCAAGCAAAGGGACTCATATGAGGACCCTCTACTAAACGAGCGAAGGAACTGTTGAAGTTAAACAGGAACCAGCTACAATGGGTGGTAGGATTACTTACAGGACACTCTCAGCTCAATGACACCTCTTCAAATTGGGACTCAGTAACAGTCCAACTTGTGAGAGGTGTCAAGAAGAAAATGAAACAGCCACACACATCCTGTGCGAATGTGAGGCTTTAGTTTGTTTAAGATTACACCACTTGCGTCAGTATTTTATGGAACCAAGTGACTATTTCGATGTCCCCACGTACAAGATCCTGCGCTTCATTCGAAGGGCAGGATTGTTGAGGGGATAATCAGAAGGAGAGGCACATTAGATCACTGTGGTCACGGTGCAAGGGCCAAGGAGGCCCACCCCTTATACATTGATTCATTCATTCATGCATTATCACTGCATCAGCCTCAAACATTTTTGTTTAAGAAATATCTGCTCTACCTTGAACTAATGCTTTAAATTTCATTTCTGTTGCCAAAGAGACTGAGAACTGATAATAACCAGACTCTATACCATGGGAGCTTTAACAGATTTCTGTATGAATATGTGTAACATCAATTCCTGCAACATTATTAGTGGACATTCAAACTGCAGGCAACCTCATGCCATTAACATACAACATTTATTTTGATTTATACTTACCATCCTTATCATCACTACTAAGAGTATCACTATCACTAGAGGTTTCTGAATCATCTGTGGATTCACTTGAGTCACTTGTAGATTCTTGAGTGTCTAAAGCAGCATGCAAGCAAGAGAACTATATGAAACCCTTGTTCCCATATAAAAAGAACCTAGTATTTCATGTCAATCATTGAAGCAGTTATGGTTACACATCTTTCTTGGAAATCTGGTGATTACACTTTCCTATAAGTTATCTTAAGCCCATCGAGATGTACTGAATACGCTTACACAACATTCAACATGTTCTCACTTAACTAATACTTACTGAAGTATCGACACTGGCATAATTCCAAATGATCTGGAAAAATAATGTATCTAAACAAGCAAATGTAACAGAAAGAAGCAAAGAACCTGTTTAATGACTTTAGGTTTAAAGTGTTATAAGCTGTAGTTTCAAACTGCAAAGAAAACTAGGCATAGTTGCTGTTCCACACCCATATTATTATACTGAAAAACTGAAAGCCAAAGCAACATATCACCAGTTATTGGCCAAGAAATCTAGTTGATCCAATGCAAACAGTCGTTAACAGGCTCTCCTTCAAAACATATAAAATCACAATTGTGGACCAAAAATGTGGGTACAAATTACTAAAACAGAAAATGAACACTGAAATTTTAAAGTTACTGAAGACAAATTCCAATGACCTTTAAAAACTATCACAGTAAATTTAAGATGGATCAATGAGACTACAGATTTTTATGTGAATTAAACAATTTCAAGACAGAAGCAAATAAATTAGAAACAATAAAAGATCACGCAACTTAACATTATCAATAACTAACCAAAACATGGAACAAGATTTTGAAATGGTGAGAAGCGGCGATACAATGACTGTCTGGGAAGCAAGGAACTGTGAGAGCCAACATCTGATCATGAAGAATGTCTGTGCCAAATGTTACTCAGAATCTAGAGGCAGGCAAACATACAGAGAAAAGAAATTTGCTCAGATTAACTATATATATGTATATATATATAATCAGTTGGATTATTTCTCAAACCATGGTGTTCCAAAAAGTTTGAGGACACATACCATACATTTAATTTTAACTTCTGTAATGCACACGTTTTAATGAGGTATACCAAAATATGCCTTTCAGGCATTCCTCAAAGAACGAACCAGATTACTGAAAACAAATGCATATATGTGAGAAAAGACATCATAATATCTACCCTCTTACCAACTTCAATTTCTGGAGGTGGTATACTGGCTTCTTTCTCTGACTCAGTTTCAATTTCCAGTTCTACTTTCTTCACTTTGTTGCTACCCTCTTCTGTTATACTTTGGTCAAGAAGCTGGCGCTCAGATGAAGTGTCCTTATTGATTAGGTTTGACTTGTCAGTCACAGACATTCTGGTTATTGAGGACCTACAAACCATAGTACCTGTCACAATTAATACATTAAGAATTGCATACATTTAAAGGGAAGAGGAATCACAAGTATAAACAAAATGTGAACCCAATAAAGCTAAACAGGGTCACCAAACAATGAGTTCAAAAAGTAATTACATTTGTGTTCGTAACTGATATATAAATTTCAAAATCAGCATATTAACTGGAATAAGAGTACAGCAAAAACCATTCCATGGTGTTCTGGAATATCACACTTTAAGCCAGTATATTTTAACGCAAAAGTTGTGCACTGCTAGGCAACGGCTGGTCACCACGTTTTGACCACCACTTGCGAACAGTCACTTAACAATAGAGAAATTCTGTGCCAAGGTTATATAAAGAGGACACCACCTGACTTAGTTGCCAGTTATGAGCTGGAGTCAGTAGTCAGAAGTCGAAGGGTCAAGTCTTGAGTTGCATTGTCACACACCATTAACCTTTAACGGCCGAATGTCACGTATACACGCCGCAAGCAGTAACCGGAGTTGGCCGAATGACCTGCGTCCACGTCACNGCAGGACACATGCTCTCTTTGGGAGTACTGACAGTTTGACCTTGGGTTTGAAACCAAAACAAACCTACTTGAGGTCATGTCAGGGGTTCATTCCTTAACTCTGAACAAAGAAATCGTTTATCACGGTACTGGTTTCGATACTCTACGTTTAGATGTGACTGCTTATGACCTGTTCAGCCAAATATGGCCCAGCTTTGTTTCGAGAACTGATGAGGAAATATTTATCGGTGCCTGCATATGAGTGCTCNATACTTACTTTGCATCACTATTTTGCGAATATTACCAACAGGTGAGAGTGTCGTTTTGTCAATCAACATAATTTATTTGATTTTGCTAGAAACCCCCCTCCCCCCAAGACGATTCTTCAATCGCACAACCCGAATATCACGGTCAGTGGCGTTTCTCGGGGGAGGGCCAAATTTATCAGGGGGCCCAACTGAGTCGACTGGAGGTGAAACATTCACAACACTGGCCAACCAAAGGGAAACTAAGATGTATTTGTTCTCAGAATAAGAAGCGCAGAAGTACGTAAAGTGTTACGTTGAGCTGTGTGGTTTCGGCTGCTTCGAGAATGTTGGACTGCTTTGACAAGTAGTACACGCGCATCGAGTGTGAGTTATCGTAAAGTGTGAAGTGACGCAGTTCAAACTCACGTACAGTCTGAACAAAATATTGTACGAGTATATAGTGTGATTATATTTACAATATCACCATGATTCAAAGCTGAAGAATAAACAACGGGTAAGTCCTTTGGAATTTCATGAAATATATAATAAAGATTATATTTTACAATTCATGACAAAATAATCACAGTTAATTTTCATTTGTAAAAATTGCTCTTCTGTGTACATGTAGAAAAATTTATTGTCTTTCAGGTTGTTTTTAGTTTTTATTTCTATGTTGCATAGAATGGAAAATATGGATTTTTTGTGACGGTTTGCAAATTTAATTAATCAGGGTGATTTAAATACTGGCCGCAGGGGGCTCCCAGCAATTTAAAAGTCCATACGTTAAAGGTTAACAAGCAACGATTACTGAAGACAGAAAAGACTCTGTGTTTGCTGCAGTGGTTAGGTGTATGCATTTGTAAAAGTGATATAATTATTTGTAGCTATGAGTTATTAGTGCTGAATATATCCAATCATCAATCTAGACCCTGCGTCTAGTCACTTATAAGTGACAATATATTATTGCATGTCCCAGAATTCATTTGTGATGAGTGTTCAAAGTCAGACTGTTTTTGTCATGTGTCCCTTTAATAATACAGAAGAGTACTAAACAAAGAATAGTAATTACAGCTTGCATGAAGACAGGAAAGACCAAAACTTATCAACTGATGCATGTTTCAGACATGTTCAGTGAAAAACTGCTGACAAAGGAGGAAAAAAGAAAACGTCTGTGGCTTCTGACTTGCTTGAATGTGCAGAAACCAGTGAAACCTTGAAACCTTCTTAGAATCTATTGTAACAAAAGATGGAGTATGTGTATGTGATTATGTTCCTGAAACTAAAGAGCAATTATCAAAATAAAACTGGCTGGGGTGGGTGCAGACAGGCATTTTTGACAGAAGAATGGCCCATAAGTTCAAGACAGTAAGAGGCATGTATGTTTACAAGTGATGTTATATATCCGTGATGTGGAGGAAACATGCAAACCAGGGGCATATGGCAGTCAGAACTGAAAAGTAGGCTACAAACGTGAGGGGCACACTGCCGAGAAAAACACCCTGGACAGACATACATTTATGAAAATGGACGACACCTGTGTGAGATGAAATAATATGCACCAAACTAACATGAGTATAACAGAAACTTTAAAGGATTTTATCTGGTATTACCTCAAAAAGAGGACTACAGCGTGTGATTTTAACATGAACTAAGACAGTGTAGCAGTTTTAACAGTTTAATAAAATATTTGTAACATACAAGACACCTGACGATGGCCGTTTGGGGCCGAAACATGTAGTGTCAAGGTGTATAATGTTAAACTAAACTGAGTGGTGAATGGAAGAGTGTTGCAATATTGACAGACGATAAATAATGGACGTTAAGTTGAACAATTGCAACGGGATGCTGAAATACAGAATTTCTGATCAGGCATACCATTTCCCATTTTTTATGACAGACAGGTTTATTTTCATGTTTCTGCTTGAGTCACCTAGTAACTTCTGAACAAAATGACAGATTTTCATTAAACATGGCCAGAACATCATCCCACATAAAAATTGATTCATGCAGAATTTGAAGGTAGGCCTATGTTCATGTTCCACACGATATTTCTCATGCCTAGCTACAATACATGCACCATTTATTATCATGAACTTTGTATTACTTATGAGCAATGAATTAGACTGTTGTCTAAAACATCTCTGAAGGTACATCACACCTTGAGTAAGCAACCTTACAGACAAAACTTCGGTCTATTCAGTGAGATCTCTAGTACGGTGTTTTAGTTTCTGCTGTGTGCTGAAAACAGAATCTAGTAATTCTGCAATAACGATGTAATAATCTACATCAATGAAGATTCAACAGAAGAAGAAATGTTTTAGACACATTATAAGTGGGACACACTCCTGCAAGGGCATCTGAATAAACAAAGATAGGCAAAGAATGATGTATCATTCTCATTGTCGTCACCATCATCATCGGCAAAACAAACCTTTCCGAGCCACAGCCTCTTCCATCTGGTTTTTACTTCTTTAGATTTTGAAACAATAATTGCTCTATACAGCAACGTCATCAGCCTTGCATTCAACCCCCAACCTGGAAGACCAGGTCTCTGTATTTATGTCCTCCAGTAACTGGGTGGCCCAGTTATACCCCCAGGCATAGGGTTCCTTTTCATTACCTTTCATGACTCACAGGGCTATAGTGGAGGTATTCTAACCCTGCCTCCATATAGGAAAATGATGCATCACTAAAGATAAAATATATTCAACAATATGGGAGTCCAGATCTTTAGTAAAACTCAGAAAGCAATTTGCGCTCTCCCATAGCCAGCACTACAATCTGGTGAAAAGGTAAGGCAAGGCATTTAGCAGGCCCGTCCATGTGTACTGTGCAGACTGATATCAGCATAATTTTTTAACTCTTGCTGTTGCCACTGGTACAATAAAGCTCAAATGTCTCTAAATGAGCATTATCAGGCTAACTAGTTCTAAGCACCACTTGCCTTACCTTCTCTTCACTGAATGAAGGCACTTGTTTCTCATTGCATGCAAGGCCATATCAGGGAATAAAAGTGTTTTGTAGGTGATGTACAAGAATTACAAACTTATTTTCAAGATTAATGAATGCAGTGGTGAAATTAAATGTAGCTTCACGCTATGGACCTGCCCTGAGGTCGACTCAGCCTCTAACAGAAATGACTACCAGGGATCTTCTTGGGAGTAAAGGGCAGCCGGAGTGTAAGGCTGACAACCTCATTGCCATCTGTGTGCTGGCTGTCTAGAAAATGCGGACGCTCTGACGTCTCACACCCCATGGGCCCCACGGCCTGTCACAGGAATAGCTTTTTATTTCTTTTACAATATGTTAATAAGCCTCACATACAGGAACAATATCAATATATTCCAATTTTACCGTGATATAAAACGACAGTAACAGAAAAGTTTCACGTAACAGGCTTTAGATGGACATAAAAACTAAACACTGGCGCTCAATTACAAGTCTAGAAAAATTATTACACTCTTTGGTTTGTCAACATGAAGTATCATAAATTTCACACCAAAGCAAAACTAACCGTTAAAACTATAATTGTAGAAATCTACAATCATATACGAGGGTAATTCCAAAAGTAAGGTCTCCTATGTTTGAAAATATAAAATAAACATTTATTTTCAATTTTGGATACATCAGTTGAATCTTGAACATGTACTCATTTCTCTACATAATCGCCATTTCGGTCGATGTATTTTTGTAGGCGCAGTGGCAGTTTTTGTATGCCCATGTCATACCAGTTCATCTCCATGCTGTTCACGAAACTTTGAACCTCAGCTTTCACCTCATCGTCGTTGTTGAAGCGCTTTCAAGACAAATGTTCTTTCAACTTTGGAAAGAGATGGTAGTCACTGGGCGCCAAGTCTGGACTATAGGGTGGATGGGTGATGTTCCATCCAAACTGTTGCAGTTGAGCGACAGTTTGTCGGGCAGCATGGGGGCGAGCGTTATCGTGGAGAATGCTTACGCCCTTGCTCAACATCCCTCTTCTCCGGTTCTGAATCGCCCGCCTGAGTTTTCTCAGTGTCTCACAATATCTCTCAGCGTTTAGTGTGGTCCCAGTTTCCATAAAGTCAACCAACAATACCCCGTTTCGATCCCAAAACACAGTTGCCATGACTTTACCGGCAGACTGTGTTTGCTTGAATTTTCGAGGCTTAGGCGAAGAGGAATGCCGCCACTGACGTGATTGTTGTTTTGTCTCAGGTGTGAAGTGGTACGCCCAGGTTTCGTCGCCTGTGACAATTGAATTCAAGAAGTTGTCCTTTTTGTCAGCATAGCGGCGAAGAAATTCACGGGAAGAGTCAACTCTGCGCCGTTTGTGGTCTTCCGTGAGCATTCGCGGGACCCATCTTGCGCACACCTTCCGATAATTCAACTTCTCTGTCAAAACCCGATAAATGGTGGTTCGGGAAACCTCGGGAACCGAAATGCAGAGATCATCGAGTGTGATGCGCCTATCCTGACGCATGACTCGCTCAATCTTCGCGACTGTCTCGTCAGAAATTGACGGTCTCCCAGTTCTTTTTTCGTCGTGTATTGCAGTACGACCAGATTCAAACTCCCTACACCACTTGCGGACGTTCTTTATGTCCATGCACGACTCGCCATACACTTCCACCAACCGACGATGAATTTCAATTGGTTTAGTCCCTTTTGCGTTCAAAAACCGAATAACTGCGTGAATCTCACACTTTGTGGTTTTAGTAATTGGGAGCTCCATTTCTAACAGCAACCGTTCCAAGACTGAGCGTCCTAGCTACGTGCGCGCATGCTTGGTGGTATTGGAGGGAGTGGGGGAAGCAACGAATGCAACAGGGTTGCCAACAGCCGCACGAAAAATTACCCAGCGCTTTGGAGACCTTACTTTTGGAATCAGCTACGTAAAATTCAAAGCTTTCAGATGCTGAAGCAAGAAGTTCGAATTTTAGATATTTCACGTCTTTCTCTTTGGAAAAGGTTGTGTGTAATGTGCATATGCATATGTAGTAACTTTTGGCTAAGATTTTGCCACCATGTGTACCGCAGACTGTTAGATTTCTGGCATTCAGTTCACAGACAAAATGACACTGAAACAACAGATTCCAATACCCCATGCTCTCAACATACACATACATATTTACAAGAAAATATTCTTGCTAACTGAGTTTAATGAAGCCTTCTACTTCATGTGCATGAGGCAGCGTGCGAACACACACACATCCCCTCCAATTCTCCTTCACAAGTAACAAGAGAAATTTCTTTAGAGATTATTCACATTAAATAAACATCTAATATGGTGCTACACTATTTTCTGAGCAAGGAAATCCAAATACATATGGGACCCACATCTGAACTACAGGTGGGGAGGAGGTTATGAGTACAGTTTTGTCTTTTCACTTTACAAACTATAAAGAAAACATTCGTATACAGATAAGCATTGTGTGTGGCTGGCTTTGTATGAAAATTCTGCAATTCCTCAGTAGTAGCACATAAGTCAACTCATGTCTTTAATGAGCACTGATATATAAGAATTAAAACTGACCGTCTCTTTGGTATGCTGGCCCCCTTCTTTTGGAGTATTGAATTAATATCTCCACGATCCTTTTGGGCAGTTACTTGTTTTTTCTTCAGTTCCTCCAACAGTTTGAACATTTCTGAGTCTGCAACATCATATGCTGTTTGACCCTGCACATGGGGGAGAAAATGTAAAATTTAAACAGCTAGTCATTTACATCCTTTGGATGCAGTTAGAAAGTGTCGCAAGCAATGTAATGACAGACAGCCTGTAGCATTATTATTAAATGATAAAAGAGATATGCTTCCTTTCTCGATAGTGATTAAGCTTCCTACATAATGACATTTGAATCTGAACTAAGCCAAGTCAATGTATTTACATGTACATCACATAACTCTTCATAATGTTATATTTTTGCATCCTGTTGCACTGATTCTCATCCATGATATGTATACTGGCAGTCTTGTAGTGCACTCAATCTCACCTGTCACTTCACTACATGTTTTGGCATCACTGTGCAATCCTCAGGTGTGTTATTTACGTCAAGCTATTGCATTGCTCGCCATCATGTGTCATTTATAAAATTATCTAAAAATGCACACTCTTCACTAACTATAATAAAATTTATATATATAAAATTTGTTAATATCCATCATCTTATATGTCTTAACTCAAACCTGTGTACTACATCATTCTTCCACTATGGGAGTCGTTCTTCCTATATTTTGCGTATATTGTGTCTTGTGATGTGTCCTCTTTTTTTTGGCTGTGAGCGTTGATTACAACGCTCGCAGCCAATATACATATCATGGATCACATAACTCATGCACAGAAAAACATTTTTTTATCACTACTACAAGGCCATGGGCCCTCAGGCTGACTTGACCTATGAGACACTAGGAAACACATACCTTGCAAAGTAATGGGCTCCAAATGGTCAAACATTCCTGTAGGATATTCATATTCTACCTATATCTGCATCATAACAATATTGCAGCATGTGGAACAAACTACAAAACAACAGCAGATTCTTAACAAGCAACAGTTGAAGTACAACAAAAGAGGAACGGTTAGAAACAGTGTTTACAACTCAGTGTGAGCAAAGGGTTTATGTAATAGGGACACCAACCAAGCTAGAGTGAGACTGTAACAGTTGCTGTGTTAAAATCCAATGCCAGGAAATACAGTCAACTATCGATTATCCGCGATAATGGTGGGGATGGAAATCACGATTAATCGAAAACCCAGTTACGACAAATTTTATTAAAAGTAGTACTGTAATACTGTACCTTCATAATACTATAGGCCTACCTGTATTTAAATTTATCCAACCTCATTTTTATGTCATCTCATGGCCTATTTAATACGTTTTTTTACATTACGCTGAAGTATGAATCAGTTATTTCAATCACAGTCTTCAACAACACCCAACACTTTTTACAAATATTCACACTTAAAAAAATTTAATATTGTTGTTTACTTTATGCAGCATTTTCCTTTTTCTGTTGAATACTTAACACAACACACTTCCTTTTACACCATGACATTTTGCTAACGCACTTGAAGATCGATACAAAGAAACTAACTGGGGCGATGTATCTGTCCTTGAAACTTTCCACAAATCCTTGCATTCTTTCGCCCCTACCCTAGAACATTGTGTTAGCATAACGGGACCAAAGAATGCAGAGCTCGGTTCACACTAGTGTGAAAATTGTGTTACAACTCACCATGTGAAACAAAAGTGAATGAATATTAAACAACATATAAGCCTCAAAAAAGCCTCAATAGCCCCGGTTAAGCCGCAAACCGGTTAATCCGCCCCCGGATAATCGAGAGTTGACTGTACTAGGGGAGACTGTAATAGTCAATAATCCAATATCCAATTAAATACTCTTCGAGTCACTTTAACAGATGTGACAATATCGTGAGCTGCTGTCTTTCAAAATGGTAGCTTCTGGATGCACATTTTTTTAATTATATTCTTCACTTAAAGTTTCTCTTCCAGACTGCTTCAGTGGGCTTGTAGAATTTATTCTTCTATGATGCATTATTCCAGCCTAGAAAACTAAGATTAACGGCCGTGGGGATCCTTTATGTTGACCACACGACATCCTCTCTCCCCTAAAGTTGGCACTAACTTTGCCGACAAGCGGCGGTCACTTGGTCGTTATAGTTCGCTTGCAGACTAAAGCCACAGAGTTTGTTTGATGATGTATTATTAACTGTCCTACTTCTATAGCATTTTACCTGCATGGTTTATGTCACTTCCTTTGTGTAAAAATGCACCTATCTTACATAACTATTGTGTTGACTCTTTTCTTTCTTTATTGTATTTACCAGTAAACTTTCTGTACTCTTACTTTTAGAGAAGATTTTTCCATGGGGGGGGGCTTACAGTTTCCACCCAGGTTTTGGCCACAAATTTTCTGTTACATGAAAATGAAAAAATGGATGTTAAGTAATAATTCATTCTGTGCCTCTATATACCATCTAAACCCTAATTCATATATAATCATTTTGGGTGACGAGTCAAGGCTTCTGGAGCAAGCACACATGCATTTAAGTTTACTAAACTTTTCTACACATATTTGCAATCCCTCAATAGTGCCACAGTAGTTGTTGCCACACATTATTTGCAACATACCACTGCCCAAATATTACCCTGACATATTTCCAGCCAGCATTCTGTCTTAATAAGACTACAGTGCTGAGTTAGAAGTCTCTGATAAATGGTCATTATTGACAGCACACCATGCACTTTCATATTTTATCAACTGCTGAATATCCACACGCACAGGGGACATGCAACCTTTCTTAAACTTTATGAACTGGTAGTTACCTACCACATAGTTCTTCATGTCCATATCACAGAACTCCTCCACGAGCATTTCACAAGCTTCCTTTTGCCCCCAGTGTGCTGCAGCATGCAACGGTGTCCAGCCATCAAAATCTTGGGAATTTAAATTTGCACCACCTTGTAAGAGAACACTGCAGACAGACAAGAACAGTAAAAAGTGACAATAATTAAAATATGCAACAGTAAGAAGTGACAATCATTAAAATAAAGTCTTTACCATACATGAGACAATTTATTATTTATATTTATTCAGGCCATTAACTGTTTCTGCATCTCCACAGCTAGAAAAATGAACATATTTCTAGAGAATCATACAGAATATATCAATTATTAGTATTTACAATTATAAACCACAATCAGCATTCAGATCTGAAGAGGATTTGAACTTCAGTGATTAAAATTCATAATTTTAGCAAATGGTTTATCGAGTCTTTAATTTAATCCTGACAGAGCCAAGATCAATTGGATTGTGGTTCAAAAATGCATAAAAGCCCGGCATTGATCAGATCAATTCTCCTTATGACATGTCTGCCACCTTACATTTCTACAAGCAACTGCATCCTGGTGTAGAGGACAAAATCTGATGCAACATTGGTGTTCTAAACAATTCATACATATTACCTGGAGAAGAAAACTGTTCTCAAATTATACACGTCTCACCCTTTCTAAGCATCACATTCTGAACATTTCATAACAGAACATTTTAAGATAAAAATATTCAAGTGACGGAAATACTTAAATAAAGACAGGCCTCAAACAAAAATGTTTATACACACTCCTACTAGACCAAACCTTGTCACCAATATTGATCCTTTACATTTTCACCTACAATTCACACCTTCAAAACAGAATGAAATCTCTAATTCATCCTATAGTTGCAAATATTGTTATTCCACATGACTTCAGTAGAACAAATATTCATTTAAAAAAAACATAAAATGTCCTACTGCAGATGATTATGTATGGTGCAGTGGAAAGGTCAGGTGTGGAAGTGGAGTGGTGGTACCCTAATTTCAAAGTACGATCTCATATTTGACTTAAAGGAATGAAGTAAATAAGAAAGTAAAGACAGCCAGTGCTCATCTTTATTACAATATGCACGAACTATATGTACTATTTTGTGTACTCAAGTCACATCACCTTCAAGCAATTCTAACATATTGTGACGTGTTGCGCAATGGAGGACACCCCTCCCTCCTCAGCGGTACATGGCGGCATCATAGCGCTGTCGTTACTCACCGTGGTGACGTAACACGCAACGCAGCTGTGACATGGGAAACAGGCAACAGCGATACCCACTGCGTAACAGGCGGGCACTGTGACTATATAAGGGAACTACACAGCCGCCGAAGATAGTTAAAGTTTAGCAGCTGCCGAAGAAAGTTCTCAAGTTCTCTAGTTATCTAGTTACGAGTCAGTCACCAGTTAATTGCAGTACAGTATTTGTGATACTGCCAATGGCAGTAATGTTGAGCTTGTAAATTGTGTGATTGTAAGAGTGAATGTGAAATAAAATTTGCTATATCCAGTAAGGCATGAAGTTTTTTGTCGCGTTATACACCCAACACGTGACAATTTGGTGTCAGAAGTGGGATTCGAACTTGGACACGCCTCAATGAATTGTACTGCCACACAATGGATATGGAAAAATTGTTTGAATGCCTAGTGCAGATGCAAGACAGAATGGAGGCCAATCGAAAAAAGACAAAGAAGATTTAACAGCCAAATTAGCCTCCTGTCAAGAAAAGGCAGAGATCAGCCACAAGGAACTCCTAGCCAGAATGGAGGCTGACAGACAGGTCAATATGGATGCCTGGTGGAAAGAGATGACAGCCTGCCGAGAAACGACGGAGGCGCATCTAGAAAAAGAAGTAAAGACGATAGCCTACCAAGAGATGGAGGTACGTCTAGAAGAGGAAAAGCCGGCCACAGTGGACACGAAACCTGCGGAGACACAACAAGAAGTCCCAATAGTGATACCGGTTGGAGTGACAATGGCCTGCCAAGAAATGGAGGCACGTCCAGAAGAGCCAGCCTCAGTGGACATGAAACCTGAGGTGGCCGACCAATCTGAGGTACCCGTAGAAGACGCCGAAGTTATGCCGGTCGGAGAACCGAAGAAGAAAAGGCGTAGCGACCGAAATCAGCGAAACAGGAAGAACCCGACATGGGGAAGTTGTGGACCCCAGAAGAAGTTGGCTGCCCCCTGCAGGAAGGTGTCCCGCCATGCAACAGTGGCATGGCTCAAGAGGAACATCTTCAGGAAATCTTCAACCGAAAGAAATTGTGAGCCATGAAAAGAAGTGACCGCCACTGGAATGAAGATTACAGAGAAGAATAGATGTTGGAAATGCCCTCAATGCAACAGTGGCATAAAGGACAGAGGTCTGAAACGGCGGCTACGAGTCAGCAACCAATTGAAAGACCCAACGAAGAACACCATCGGAGGGTGTAGATCAGGAAAGCGATCACACCTAGGAGGGAGAAGTACTCGGAAGATGACTTTCTACGTGATCGTCGGCAGGAAGATCGCGAAGCAAATAGCTGGATCTTCTGTCGGATTACGACAAAACAAGGAATGAACCTTATGGAGGGGTCGACCCCCTCCAAAGCAAAAAAAGAAACAACGGATCGGGGAGGAGCCGGTAACGTAGAAGTACCGACCTTCCGAGCAAGAGTAACTGTGCGATAGATGAATGTAATACAACTGGATCTTCTGGCAAGTTAAAAGGGAACCGCTAGAGATGAGCTTGGTCTTAAGAAGGGAGTGGTTGTAACGGCCGGATAATAGTTGCTGCAAGGAGTAGCCGAAACAACAGGAGACCCACCAAGCACATCCTTGGAAGGAACGGGGGCGTACAGTTACGCTATTCGGGACGAACAGTCTTAAGGAGGGAGCAGTGTGACGTGTTGCGCAGTGGAGGACACCCCTCCCTCTCCAGCAGTACGTGGCGGCATCGTAGCACTGTCGTTACTCCCAGCGGTGACGTAACACGCAACGCAGCTGTAACACGGGTAACAGGCAACTGCGGTACCCATTGCATAACAGGCGGGCGCTGCTGCGACTATATAAGGGAACTACACAGCTGCCGAAGATAGTTAAAGTTTAGCAGCCGCCGAAGACAGTTCTCAAGTTCTCGAGTTATCTAGTTACGAGTCAGTCACCAGTTAATTGCAGTACAGTATTTGTGATACTGCCAATGGCAGTGATGTTGAGCTTGTAAATTGTGTGATTGTAAGAGCGAATGTGAAATAAAGTCTGCTATATCCAGTAAGGTGTGAAGTTTTTTGTCGTGTTATACACCCAACACGTGACAATATGTTTCTAAATTCATCATTATAATCAATACTGAAACCAAATATTTATAAAATTAACATTCACACCTCTTGCTCAAAAGGGAGAAAAGTGATTACTCTGATGGATGAATATAACACTGAGAGTCAAATTTCATACTGTAGGCACATCTACATATAATTCAGAATTACAAAATTACTGGGTGATTTCTTTTGTTAAGGTCTCATGGGTATTAGGTTTTGGATGTGCAGGAGATAAATGAAGCACAGATAACACATGCCAAGATGAGGAGTAACAGAACTAAAATTAATAGCATACAATTACCTCATTACTTTGATATAGCCTTTAGCTGCAGCAATATGGAGTGCTGTGGCTCCGGTCTTGGGATGCGGTGTCTCTTCAATACCACCATTGTTTAACCATTCCTTTGCATCTTCCAGCATCATTCTCTCCTCTTCATTACGGGCTTCATCACAATCAATCCCTGAGAAACAAACAAATTTACCCTTTTCAGTAGAGAAGATGAATGTGTCATCACAGGACCACATAACTTATACATACAACCATGTTTATCATATTATACAACATCTGATCATAACAAAAACAAGCTGTACTTTCAAAAAGAACAATCCTTTATACAATCAAGTGCCAAAACACAGAAATTTCATAGAATATAATGAACAAGTAAGCTCTGGCTTCTCTATCAGCATACAACAAATTGTCATTCTGGCTCACCCATGGCATTTCTTGCAGTAAAATCATAAACAATTACAAGTTAAAAAACATATAATTTTGGGACATTATTTACATCTTCAGCACAGCAGACTCTGCAATACAAGGTTTCTGCACCCCTGCTCTATAAAACCCAAAAGACAGAGGGCCCTGAAATCTTGTTAGAATGGTACTTTCTATGAGGTCTACAACCTCACCAACTTGCACTGAAAAAAGGAAAGGTTAGATTGAACGCTGCATTTCTCTCTGATGATCTGGCATGAATGACTCATGAATGGTGAACAGAACCATAGAAATCTTAGAAACTGGCTCCAATGCAATTTTGTCAAATATGTATTCCTGCAGCTTTAAGCACTGGATCATATCAGACTTGAGCCACCATTCACATGACAATCCTGTCCTGTCCAACAGTTCACCACTTGAATAGCAAATTCCTGTTCCTGCCCAAGAGTCTGCCATGCACAAGGTTAATCTTGTTCTGATCCAACAGTCTTACACAAACAAACAAAAATTAGGATGTAGTGTGCTGTCTGCATCAATAAGTGAACAAAATTCCACCCCATGTGTAAATGGTTTCAAGGGTTTTGATGTTCAAACATAATAAACTGTACCTTTTGCAGACTTTCTACTGTTCTCATAATTTTCTTTGACTGTTCCAAGAGAAAATTTCACCTACCAATAACACTACACTAAAATTATAGCTACTATACATCATGATTCTCAAATCTCACAAATGTCAGAAAATGCTGACAGACTCTGGACTATCCCGAGATTTATTATGTGCTATATAATCAAGTAACTCCCTTAAGTAGAATCACTGAGAAGTTGACAGTCACTCACCAGGGCCAAAAAAATTCCCACCTTTTATACAAGCAAAAGATTAATCACCCTGTTCACAAAAACTCACCACTGTATGTTATCCTGAGCCATACGAATCCAATTAACACAATCCAATTTTGGTTCAAATGGGTTTTAAGAATATTCTCCCATCTCTTCCCATCAGGCAGTCTAACTAGAATTTCATTTTAATTTCTCAACTTCTTTAAATGTGCTGCACATCCTGGCCATCTCATCCTCCTTGATGTGATTACACTAATAATATTTGGTGGAAAGCATAAAATACAGAATATCTCCATTCTCCCAAAACATCCTTTCTTTTGAGACAACATATTCCCAGCACCATTTTCAAATACTCTCAACTATTATTTAGGTCGTTCAGAAATGACTGACACTCCCTCCATAACTCTGGAAAATTAGCAGTGACAAGAGCAAGCCGGTGCATGTGGGAAGACATACTATAGTGCTGCCTATGGCCATGAGATGACATTGCTACTGCCCACAGTCTGAACAGTACTGTGTTATTTGTGGCGGTGTGCAGGTGCAGTCGTGGACAACGCTCAGGCAACAGGGAAGCAGACAATCATGGGCAACGGTGGACTGTGTGGTTTCTCTGGAGGGAAGGAGTGGCTGCTTCACACATTCACACGAGGTTAGCAGCCGTATGTGGGAAAGCAGTACCAAGTCCCATAACCGTGTTTCGCTGGATAGCAGAGTTCAAAGACGGAAAGGACTGTGCGGAAAAAGGCAAAAGAAGTAGGCATCCAGCAACAGCATGCACACCACACAGTACCCAGTGTGTGTCCAACTTGACACTTGGGAACAGGCGCATCACTTTCGGTGAACTAGAGAACGCAACAGGTTTGTCACGTGGAACACTGCACACCATTATCCATCAGGACTTGACGATGAAAAAGGTCTGTGCTCAATGGGTGCCCCATTCTCTCACCATTGCGCAGAAGCAGAAGCGTGTGGAGACATGCCAACAGTTACTGCAGCTGTAGAGTGCGGATACAGGGAGTTCTTTGAGCATCTAGTCACCGTCGACAAGTCATGGTTCTGGCACGAGACTCCAGAAAAGAAACGCCAGTCGATGGAGGGGAAGCACGCTGGTAGCCCTCTTCCCAAGAAGTCATGACCAGGACTATTCGTCCGAAAGCAAATCGCGACTGTGTTCTGGGATCAGGAGGGGAGCATTCTGTTGGACTGGCTGCACCTTATACGACCATCGACAGTGTACAGTACTGTAACTGACTGTGCCAACTAAGCCGACACATTCAGCAACGCTGCTACAGAAAATGGGGGCACAGAGTTCTTCTCCAGCATGACAATGTGCGCCCACATGGCAGTTGGCAGACCACTGCCACCCTGGGTGCTCTAGGGTACATCTGCCATACTCGCCCAATCTTGCCCCTAGCAACCACACTCTATTCGATGCAATGAAAGACATCATTCAGGGTAAGATGTTCACCTCCAACAACAAGCTTCAGGCAGTTCTCCAGCAGTGGCACAGGGATATCCCCAAAGAATGGTCTGCTGTGCAAATACAGAAACTGCTGGAATGATGGAAAAGGTGCACAGACATTGGTGGGGAATACCTCTAATATAATCTGTATGTATTTTGTTCCAATAAATGGTTACTGTGAAGAAAAAACATTTAGTGTCAATCATTTTTAATGCCCCTAGTAAAAGGCGAAGTTATCCCCCAGCTTCAATTAATTCATCACCACACCAGGAAGACATATGAGGAGGGGAGGTAGAGCTCCACTGTTCTTAACCTCAACACTAGATGGAGGTGAGCGGTCAGCTTTATGCACCCACTACTTTACACGCTAGATAAACAGCTCCTGCTACACATCATACAGGAATGCCAGGTGGGCAACAAAGCCAGTCTGGATACTATGGAGAACAGAAAAATCTCTTGCCCTTGCCAGGAACTGGACCCCAAATCCTTGGCCACTCAGCCTGTAGCCTCATGCTCACTCTCATCTATAGCCTTTCCTAACTAGGTGGGAGAAAAAGTTTATCAATACAGTGACCTGATACCAAAAATAAACTGATATTCAATTTATGTTAAATTCCTCAAGTCAAACAGAGTTTACTGTATAAAAGATTATCAACGCCATCCAGTGTGATTGATAAATGTTGTGTAACGTGTTTTGTTACTGAAGATGCCGTTCGGATTGTTAATTGGTTTATTTAACAATCTACAAGTCTCGGCTACAATTATTTATAACAATGTTACGTGTTTCCACACTTTACAAACCCTATGCACTAAATCTCTTCACTCTATCTTCAAGAGTCTTCACGTATTAACAACGCGGGAGCTATACAAGTCTCCCTGAATTACACACTCCAAATATAACTGTACTACAGCACACACAAAGTCTTGAAAGCACACAATAAGTCTTCCACTTGCTGACTTCTTAGTTATTGCACACTGTCACATAAAATCTTGTAACCATGCATTCGGGTCTTCTTACCGCGACTGCTGCCATATTTCAACTCAAGTCGTAGGCTGCTGGCGTGAGAACTAACTTCGGCGGCGGCTACGTTTTAACTCACTCACGCTTACTGCTCAGCCGGCTTTTATTCCATTCTCTGTTGCCTGTGTCACCAGCGTTGTTGCTTGCCACGTTACAGTAGGAAGCGGTGCTGCATCACAGCGGGGAGCACTGCCATGTTGCAGTGTGGGGCAGGGGNGAAACTAGTTAACAATGTCATTGGTTACTGTCAATACATAGACACTACTACTACTACTATTACTACGTCATAAATATAAAATACTGTAATGTGTGTTATATGTCGTCCGAGGCTTTGTGTGCATTTTTGTAACATACTTATTTTTTACGGTGAGTTGTTAGCCCAGAGCCCAACCCCCAAGCTCAAGGGCCACCCCTTGTCCTAAGCTAAAGAAAATGGATATGAGATTTGGCACTTGGAATGTTCGAAGTTTGTATAGGGCAGGTTTGTTCAGGGCAGTGGCATAGGAAATCTTAAAATATAAGTTAGATTTAGCGGGAGTACAGGAGGTCAGTTGGGACGGAGGTGGCATTGCACCAGCAGGAGACTATACATTTTTCTATGGAAAGGGGAACGAAAATCATGAATTAGGTACAGGTTTTTTTGTACATAAGAGAATCATATCAGCAGTTAAGAGGGGAGAGTTCATTAGTGATAGGATATCATATAAAATATTAACCTTCCAGTGCCGGGCGACGTACATAGCACGTCGGCATTTAAATGCCACATCTCGCCGGGCAACGCTGTCATGCGTCTTGTGCTGCTTTTCATGTAAAGTAATACTTTTGCTATAAAATGAAAGAGGAAATTTCTGTCTATCATTTCGTACATTCGTTATCCCACTTTGAACTTCCCGGGGTATTTTTTTTTTACATTAGAAGTCTCTGAAGAAGTTCCGTAGCTTGCCGTCTAGGTTGCAGTATTGCCATACAAATCTGTCTCCATCTCTTGGAGAGTTAGGAACTAAATATGCTAGGTTTATAGTCTGTGACCTCCTTGCATGTTGGTTGAAGGAAAGTCTGTGATCTCTCTGCGTGTTGGTCGATAAAAAAATCGATTTCCATTCACCAGTGACGAGTGCTGCTTCTTGAACGGAATGAGAAACCACGTGTAGAAAACCTAACAAGAAAGATACGTGACACT